TTTCTGCTTAGAATAACCCTCTTTTCTGCTGGAGACCAGATTCTAAAACCTTTCACTCCATCTCCGTAGCCCACAAATACTCCCTTTTTAGCTCGTGGTTCTAGCTTACCTTCACTAACATGATAGTAAGCTGTACAACCAAAAGCTTTCAGATTTGAATAATCAGCAGCTCTTCCTGACCACATCTCCACAGGTGTCTTGCACTGAATGCCTGTATGTGGTCCGCGGTTAATCAAGTAGCAAGCTGTACTAACCGCTTCTGCCCAGAACCTTCTGTCTAGCCCAGCATTAGAGAGCATGCACCTTGCTCTCTCCAGAAGTGTTTGATTCATCCGCTCAGCTACACCGTTCTGTTGTGGTGTATCCCTAACTGTACGATGTCGAGCAATCCCTTCATCCTTACAGAATTGATCAAATTCAGACCAACAGAATTCGAGTCCATTATCAGTTCGCAACCTCTTGATCTTCTTCCCTGTTTGATTTTCCATCAATGTTTTCCACTCCTTGAACTTCTGGAGAGCATCACTTTTGTGCTTCATCATGTATACCCAAGTCATCCTTGAGTAATCATCAATAATTGACACGAAAAATCTGCATCCTCCCAAAGACTCAACTCGGCATGGACCCCAGCAATAAGAATGAATGTAATCAAGTGTGCCTTTTGTTCTATGAATGGCCTTTGGAAACTTGTTGCGATGTAGTTTTCCAAAAACACAATGTTCACAGAACTCTAGGCTCTTTACCTTGTGACCGGCAAGAAGATCCTCCTTTGACAGAATTTGCATCCCTTTTTCACCCATATGACCAAGTCTCATATGCCACAACTTGGTCATATCTTCCTGTTTAACTTCTGATGATGCAACATGAACTGAACCTGTAACCGTGGAACCTTGTAGAAAATACAAAGTACCCCGCATGACACCTTTCAGAATCAGATTTGAACCCTTCCAGACGCGCAGAACTCCATCCTTTCCTGACCAACTGAACCCCTTGCTGTCCAAAAGACTGAGGGATATCAGATTCTTTGTCATCAATGGCAC